ATTTACACTGTTTATTATCATGTCGTTCATTAAGTTCAACCGTTCTTTTCGTTCGTCTTACGGGCGGCCGTTGAACTGTACAAGATACTCGTGGTAGGTCTTAGGACAATGATAGTATACGTCCATGAAGTATATAAGTATAAAGAATAAAGTGGATGTGACTTTTGAATGTAAACGACAACCGATGCAAATGGCGTTTGTGTACAGCGTTTTTATGCGTATACGATCCGGCATTTATTTATTTAGTTTTTGTCGAGTCTTATTGTAACGACCGCCTTAACAACTTAATGACGTATCCACCATCGGCAACAAAAACATATCATTACCATTTATGAACAATAAAAATAAAGTTTAAAGTGTTCACCCGCGACGAGTCTCCGATTCGGATTTGGCATGTTTGGATATGTTTTTTTAGCGATGTGATTTAAATAAATTCGGTTTATATAGCAAAATCCGATTTTTGAACTTCAAAATATGATAATAAAAATTTCATAATTTTAATTTTGGGTTTTACAACAAGGGTTTTTTTTTAAATTATTTACTTTCTAGTTTATACTATTTACAGTTAGTTTTACATTATACATATTAACATATAGAGTGTTTAGATGTAACATCTCTGATTTTGTTTAAAAAATTGATTTTTATAAAACTTTTTTTAATTTTTATCAAACAATAATAATTTAAAGTTTTTGTATGTTTTTTAGTCAGAAGCTAGATTAAGGCCAGCACTTTTTTAACATTCAAATGCTAATGTATACATTCAATTCTTTTTTTTAATTATGAATAACTTGCTACACATTTTAACTGGTCGAAAATCAGTTTTGATTTAACTATTACTTTTCAAGTCATTTGAGTTTAAAATATAGGATGGGAGGTGAAGTGTGGTTGAGTTAGGCTCCCAGATAAAAATAATACTACACTCCATCCTTCCTACCGTCATAAATTTTAAACTCATAAAATTCAGTCAATTTCAAAGTTTGAAAACACTTTTTGGTCAAATGTTGTTTGTAAATAATAGGCCTTTACATATGCAGTGTCAAAAACGGGGTTTTCATTTAGGTAAATGTTTTTTTAAGTGCGCATAAGCAAAAATAATGGGTAAAAAAAAGTTCCTTGGTAATAATGTGCATTTTTATGTTCTTCAATTTTGAACACTTGTATATTAACATTTATTATAATATAGGATTATATATTAATCGATAATTCACAACACAAGCTAAAATTGATATTTATAATTTTCGTTATTCATTTCATATAACATAAATTGAGTTCACATTGTGTCCATGTCGTTGTGGTTTTGACATTTTCTTTTATTGTGTTATTATTATTACTGTCGTTACTTGCTTATACACGTTGTACGCCTATTAAATGAGTTTATCGTAGGAAATCATCATGACCGCCGATGGACGTGGCCCCGCGGTTTTATGTGTTTCTCTCAAACAGCCAATGCCTATCCTAATGGTAAAATAAGCCCACCCAAGAACGAAATGTGTGATAAAACATTACTATCACGAGGCCAACCGCCATGTCCCACTTGTTCAACGTGTATAATAATAATATATTGCGTAGGTACAATATGCCGTTTGTGTTTATTATGAATCGCCGCCAAAGGTCATCCGAAATGTAAGCTATATGGCGGTATAGCTGCGGTTTTCTGCACCCCCTCATATTGTACTTACTCTTGTCCCCACCGTCCCTTTTACCGGGCTTCGGTTATGGGGTTTCCGTGTTTTGCATACCTTACGGACCTCGCAGGAGACGCTGTCTATGTGTCATCCGAGCACGTGCGCCACAAGCCCCTTCGATACGTGACGCGTCAATGTCTGTAATCTTAAATGAATAACGTGTCGCCGAAACACCGTGTAGAGGCACCTGGAAATGGCTTCTTTTTATTTTTTTACCCCGGCCGAATGGCCAATAATAGTATACAAATAAATCAGAATAAACGGGTAGTAGTAATAATAATAATAATAAAACACCCCCGGGTCCTAATACTAATACGGATTTATAGTAAAAGAAGAATATGAACATGAAAACATAGTGTTAGCATAATATACAGGACGATAACGATAGGGAGGTTTTGGGTCGAGTGGAATTTTAACGGGTTCGCCCCCTAAGTTGACTAGAAACGGATAAAAAACAGACCACCAAAAATTGTAAGTCTTAACGCGTGCCACGTTCCCTTCGAAGTACCTACCATAGTGCTATATGAGCTATAGAACCAAAACATTATCGGATATATATAATTTCTTTTGAAACCTAAATAAAAGCCAAAAAAAGTTGTTTTGCCGATATCATGGTTTAAACCGAACATAATGAGTTGTCGATGAATTTCAAAAATATGAAAAATCGATTTTTATAATTACCTCTATTGTTTCAATCCAAAACGAAACTCGAGTATTCAAAAATAATCATAATTATTGTTAACTAGCTCAAAGTACTTTACAGAAATTATTGAAACAACCGTTTGCTGGTACTTGACATTTGCCTAGGTTTTTCGCAATAAATTACCATAAAATGTAAAAACTATATTATTGAAATCCCAAGGGAAAACCCCTATTAGGGACATATATTAAAAAAGTTTAGTCGGAAACACTCGGTATTCAAAATAATTGCAATTAATATAATAAAAAACAGGTTTCTCATATTATTTAGATTTTTCAGTGCCTTATCGATTTCTGCTTGTATACATATTTTTTTTTACCTTTTATTAAAGTTTCGGTCAAGTTATATCCAGCAAAATTTTGATTATAATCACAGTTTTATGATAGGTATTTTTAAGGCTTTGTGGCATGTGTTAGGATAAAAATTAAGAACTGAAACTTTTTGTCGCCATTTTTTGTTTCGAACCAACTTAACGGGTGTAATGTGTTAAAACTCCGTTAAGCCTAAAAAAAAGACCACCCTAATGATACCGTATGAAATGTTGAGAACCATAAGAGGAGTACAAGTGAAATTCATAATTTGTATATCATTATTAATATTTAATCATATTTTTTATTCATACCAGTATAGCATATAAATGTATATAATATTTTTAAAATGTTAAAAACATGAGTTGTCATGAAATTTAATGTCTCAAAAATGTTATTTAAAAACTATTGTTTTGATATTGCAAATATTTTCAAAACATTAAATGACGTGTCGAAACATCTTTATACATCCCTAAAAGATACCGGAAACATGTAATGACATTATTCATGAATAAAATCTTTCTTTTTTTCATAATTATGAATAAATTAAATTTATACGTATTGAATAATTTCCATACCTGCTCGTACAAACACATTGAAAATCTAGTTTTCATTTTTTTTTTTTTTAGTAATTGTATAAAAATAACTCGTACCATTTTGAGTATGCACTTCGTCATAATATTATTATAATAATGTTTATGAAAGAAAACGCTCTCACCGTGCGGTGTACGGAAGCTTTTTATATTTTATTCCGATTATCGGGTTTTTATTATGTTGTATTTTTTTCTGCATGTATTTCTCCTCCACTCTGCAAAAAAAAAAAAAATAATAATAATACAGACGGTTGTATTTAATTTTTTACCTACTACGCGGTCGCTGTTTATGGAGAACCGTCGCGCGATATTTAATAATAATATTATACTTTGAGTAAATAATTTGGTAGGCGAGTGGGAGGAGGGGAGGGGGGGGGTGAACCAAAATGTTAATAAATATTTTACCGAACTCGAGAATTTAATTAAACGCGCGTTTATTCTCGTAGTAGTAATAATAATAATAATATCTTTGCCGTCAATGCATTTGTGACAACTACTTTACCGGCGGATTAAGTAAACGGTTGGTGGTTCCATAATAGCCTGACGCGGTGTACATGCTCGGCGGTTGAACGGTGCTTAGCGGTACAATACGGGCACCCCCCCCGGTTAACAAATCCACTTAACTTTACAGTGGTGTGTTTATGCCGCAGAGCCAAACCCGTGTGAATGATTGATCGAGTCGGCAATCCACTGAAAAATGTATATATCGGACCCCTTTTTTGTATTTCCGTCCGTCTACGCTCTCGCGGACCTTTTGTTTAGTAATAAAATGAGAAATAATACAGTATGGCGCAGCCCCCGGGGTGTGGACGGAGAAGAAACTTTGGAATTTGACGGGGCCAAAAGAAAACGCATTGCAGAGACATGTCGATGAAATCGTGGTGTTCACTCGATCTCGGGTGTCTCCGTCCCGCCGTGCTATCCTCCGGCAATCACAAGATACACTGGATGGCTTTTATTTTATTTTTTTTTATCTTTTAAATGTCTATACAATACCGTAGAAAACGTTTCTCTCGACAAAAACCGATACGACCTACAAAAAATGTGTAACTATAAGCTCCTATAGCTGCGGCCCATACATACATAGGTAACAAAAATTACACCTCCCCACTGGGGATGGGTTCGACAAAAGAGTACCTAGGTGTTGTGCAAATTCTTAATCGAATGAAAAATTGTCTTCCTATAAATTATAGTGGTTTTATACATATATTTTGTAAATATAGTATATGTGTATTATACGAAGTTACAGCACAAAAAAAACAAATTCCACATCATTGTACATATAAATATAATATCTTCCCAGCAACGCAACACAGCTAAAATAATATATGTAAATTATAATAGTACCTATGACAATGATAAATGAGAAAATTATTTATTTAAAAAATGCTAATTTTTTTAATACTTTGCCTATGGGTACGTTGAAAAAAATTAACTACCAAAATGAACAATAAACTGTCGTGTATTTTTAAACATGCGGGCAATCTATATATTCGCGAGGCCACTGTCGGTATTGACATTTTACAGCAAAAAATTTAATCCTCACTTTAAAACTAAAAAAATACGGTCAGAGAAACCCACAAGCCCAATTCATTGGGGGTGAGGCCCAAGGGTATGAGAATTCCCGCAGAACTGTAATTATCTATCTGTGATGTCGTTTTGGGAAGGAAAAAATCTGAAAAAAGGGTTTTATATTAACTGTTTTATTTTACAGGTGAATGGTCAAATTCACCACCAAAATGCATAATGGTCAAGTGTCCGGCAATTAACGTAGATGATTCCAGATTAATCATGGTCGAGTACAATGACACCTACGGAAAACGCGCAGTGTTCAAATGCGCTTGGGGTTTCCAAATGTCCGGTGAAAACTCAATTCAATGTTTAGCGGATTCTACTTGGTCGCATCAAATACCCACGTGCACAGGTAATTAATTACTGAGTCGTTGACCAAATCAAACACCAAAGGCAAAAACGATTTCGCTATGCGACACCAAAAGCAACCTTAAGTCCAATCGAATCCAATTAAACAATCATAATAATAATAATGGAAATCGGTTAACATAGATGTTGAATTAAGTAAAAAGTATACATTTTGTTCCCAGTTTTTTAAAAAAAAACATATAACTTATAGCCAACGATTAAGTCCATAAAATTCAATCGAAAAATAAAAATAAAGAAATCATTGCCCCCCCCCCCTCTTATGGGTAAAGGAGTTTATAATAATATTTTTTTTTTGTTTGTCAACGTTTATCGATAGTACTATTACACTGGGTATTTTGTTAAGGATAAGACACTAATTTTCTCTTAAAATAATTGCAATTTTAAGTTTTTCTTTTAGGAGATATTTTAATTTATGTAGTTTACCACATTAGTCAATATTTAAATTTTTATCTTTTTATTTTCTTCCAGAACTCTATCAATGTTTAAAAATTAAATGATTGTGTAGAAAAAAAATAGCTTTTTCAGTATCTTAGTTTTAAACGAAACGTTACGGCAAAACTCCACCCGAACAAGTTTACCTTGTTTTTTTTTCTTGGTAGTTAAGTGCGCGCGTGTACAAAAACAGAAACTCGGGTTTCTTTTTGAAAAAAAATAATACGTATTGTGTTGTATTTAACGGGACGACCCATTGTGGAGGAAAAAAATACCACTTACCCGGCCGGATAGCCGCACTACTTAACCGCGACTGGTCAGGAAAAATAATATGTTCGAGGATATAATAATAATATTTTGTCTCCGCAGAGTGGTGTCCTATTTCCGGGTTAGCCATTGGTACAATACGGTATTGTACTGTAATCCGAATAGCGTTCTGTAGTATAGTAGACGTGGAGAAAACAACGAGGCGGCTTGAGACGGAGAGAGAGTAGTACACATTTCATTAATCAAATTTTAAGGGCGCGTTAAATAAATCGCACGGTCTCGTTGCCGTCGCACCTAAGGGCACACGAGTACAACAATCTCTCTCTATCTTTCTCCTCTCTCTCTCCCTGCGAAACCTTCCCCGTACAAGGCGAAAATATTAATGGAATTTGTCAATTCTGAAGTTTCGCCTGTACTCTGCAAACGTAATTAATCGTCACACTCGTCGCAGTTTCTGATTATATGTCCCCTCGGCTCTCGGATCGTCTACGTTTTGTTTCCTTGTAACCCCCCCCCCCCCATCCAGATAAACCGGTGTAGAATTTAATAACACACAATCGATGAACTAAACATCGGAGATGATTAATTTTCGGTCCGAGGGTTTTAAAAGTTACCAGTTAATATAGATCAATTTTGTTGCACGCTTCGGTTTAACGTGCAACGCGACAATTGTGGTGAACATGGAATTATTTAGCAGAAACTTCAATGTATTATTATTATTATTATATTATAACGACGTCGGTCGACGTACAAACGATATTAACTTATTCAGTGGAAATTCCAAGTGAGCACAATATAATTTGTGTACACCGTCGCCGAGACAGCATCCTCTTTTCAATTTCTACAACTTTCAATAAATTATTTTTCATTTTATTCGCGCATCTTGCTTTAGCTTTTAGCCTCGACGTTATGTAAATATACCAGTTATTAAAATTAATCCTGAAAAATCAGTATACGTTCCTTTCATACTACAAAAGTCCGATCCAACCCCTCCCCAATTCCAAGGTATACCTATTCCGATATCTTCGAAAGTCAAATATCTTGCTGTCATACTCGACAAACGATTAACTTGGAGTCCTCGCATCAAATCTAAAAGGAAAGGCCTTAACAGCAGACTCCATTTACTTAAATCAAAACTTGCTTTCCACACTGAGATCATGATATACAAATCCCTATTATAAGACCTATATGGGCCTATGCAAAACCATCCCAACTTTGTACCTTACAAGCCTTCCAATCCATTATTATCTGATCCGTCCCATGTTATGTATCCAATTACACACTTCAAAACGACTTTAAAATAAAATAAACCAATTAGCCACAAAACACTACAAACAATTACATTCTAAATTACAGACTTACTCAAACCCATTAATATCACAACTTGCATCCAATTCACTCTCCGGAAATCCTTCTCGCCGACTCCGAAGACATTGGTGTCAAGATTTATTAATTTAACAATTAACACATTTTTTTTAGGAAAAACAATCTGTTCAAAATAAATTTACAATAAGTTTTTTTTTTTGACATTTTATATTACATAGCATTAGTAACGTTAAAGGAAGTCACCCAGTGGTAACACCTCAATTAGTCTTATTATAGTTGTATTTTAGTTATTATTTTATTGCTGTCGTTAATTAACAAACCAATTAGGTTTTTTCACGTTGAATTCTATCACTGGATGGTCTCCCTTCTCATGTCATATCACCGTTTTATTTTGTATATATATAATATATACATTATTACTATTTGCTTATTATGCTCAAGACAAGCATAGATTGTAAATATTCTTCAAGTATAAAAAAAAACAAACATATATATATATATATATATAATTATTTAAGTGAATTTTAACTTCAGTTGTACGAATCGATACAGGATACATTTTACTCTTTAAATAAAAATAAAAAGCATGTATTTTTCTATTGCGGTTTTATTAGAAAATATTTATAACGATTATATAATTATTTGGCTTCGCGTATAACGTAAAATAGAAATAAACCATTTTTTACCACTGAGTTTGACGTTAATCTTATAAATTTAAATAATAAGACAGTTTTCTAAGAAAAATTATGCCACTCCCATTTAAGTATCTATATAAATTATCCACAAAAAACTATACACAAATACTATTTTGCAAAAAGTCGGAAATGGGAACAGTGTTATATTCTTCATAGAATCTACAAGTGTCCTATACACTTTACTATGCATGATTAATTTAATTCAAATGGGACGAATTAATTGTTATGAGCACTGTTGTTTTTCTTTAAAGCCACACGCACCACAACCGCAATATTTTAAAAGGAATTAAAATATGCAAAATATTATTTCAACATGACAAATGCACAGTTTCCGTTTAGTGTGTTACTTCTCTGTGCAAATGTCATAATGTAGTTTACAATAAAAATATAAATATATGAGCTGTAGAAATTTCAAACAAACTATATTGTTCTAAAACGTCTTGCTTAAAAAAAATACAAGTTGTTTTGCAGGCACGTACATTATTATTTACTTAAGCTTCCTCAAAAAATAGTGTAACAGGTCTATTATAACACACGAAACAACTTTAAAAAATTTAGATAATGAAATATGATAATAAAAAACTCATAAACGTTTCAATCTCATTTACATGCGTTTCAAGTTATTAAATAATACTCAATTAAGTAGGTAGAATTCATTTTTTGAAAATCTCTAATATCATTAATCCCACGTGAAACGGAATGGAACGTTTAGTGAAATGACCTTAGTAAGAGAATCGCTTTTATAAGTATCGTGTTTCTGTAATGGAAGCAATGGATGGACCGCACTTACTGTAAAATATGAAAGCTAAATCGACATCAAATCCCTCGAGAGCATCTACTTTTGACTGCAGTTTTTATTGTCATATCTTGCCAAAACGTTAGGGATTTTTCTCATCCCGCTAATGGTGTACCCTCGATGATGCCACATTACTAGATTATATTACAACCACTCCCGATAGATTTCCTATATGGGACATCAAAAAATAGATCACACGAGCCTACATTCCCTTACAATACCGGGTAATTATTTTAACGCCATACACTAGTTTACTTTTTAAATAATTGCAGTGTTATAGTTATCTTTTCTGTAGACATGTTTACTATGTAACAATATCAAACAATATTAAAACTTATACCTTTTTTAATATTTTATAAACTCTTAATAACGTATATATTTAAGTAACTTTTTCAATAATTAAGAATAATTTTCAAGACTATTGACTTCTTGTCACATTTTATAATCTCACTTCATTTTTTAAATTTTATGTGGGTAGTTTAAAAACGTTTCGAACTCGTTGTAGTACCCGTCTTCGGTTCGTTCCGCTGTTGTGGCCACACTGACAGCTGGCTCGCTTGTTTCCTACCCGTAAGCACCGTGGTATCACGATCAGCGGGTGCACTGTTGCATCTTGATCGAGAAAACGCAGTTGTAACAACAGGAGCTCAAATAGTGTATAAGATCAGTAAACAAGCGAACCAGTCAGTATAGTCACGACAGCGGAACGGTGAGGAACGTCAGCATACAAATTGAACACATAGATACATCAGAAAATTATCCACATAATATTTCAATCCACGAAAGCTTTAACTCATTTAAAATATATTTTGTTTCTTCAATATTTTGGTTTTTAATTTGCTTGTTATAATCTAAGCTTTTTCAATTTTTTTTTTTCAGAAATCCTGTGCCCACCTCCGGTTGTCCCACTGAACGGATTTCTTATTGAAGACTCTGCGCCAGAAAGACACGTCGTCGGTTCGGTAGTGCAGTTTTCATGTGGCGTCAAGCATCAAATGATCGGCAAACCCAGCACGATGTGTACTGAAAACGGCACCTGGTCACATTCTCCACCATACTGTAAGCAATCTAATGTTATGATGTAATGTAGCAGTAATCATATTTACTAGGATAGAGTAAAAAAAAGGCATGAAAAATAATCAATAATTAAGTTATTATATATACTTGTAACATTTGCAATACCTACTCATAAAAATATGTTAACTAAAAATATTGGTTTCGCCAACATTTCGTTGATAATGTCTGGTTTGAATAGTTTTCTACAAATTATATTTATGTTTATAACTTAAATATAACTGAAATACTTAGTTTTCACTAAAATATTAAACGGTATTGCTATCCGAAGATGTCATTTCACATTTGCCAATAGGATCCTTGTTCCCAAATTCACATCCGCTACTATATATTATAATATTTGTCGCTTCCGTGTATGTATTCAAGCGTAATACCACTGGGCACTGTCTCGTCTTCACCAGGAACTATAAGGGCAGCAAACTTGAAATTTGGCTGGCAGGTTTTTTTTGCAACGCAAGCATTGGCTAAGGATATTATACTGAACTCAACCGCTAAGGGTGTGAAATAGGACGAAACGGGAGATTCGGAATCTTACATCTATTTCGATTGAATGTAATTGTTTTACAAATGTGTCGAGACACAGGTCTAAAAGTAGATGGAATTGAGATGGAGATTAGGCGCTGAACTCAATATATGAAACGCGTATAGTCGGCTGCCATTTTGTGAACAGCTGTTATTGTTTTGTCCACGATATAAATTATTCGTTTTTCTATGATTTATCAAAATATATGACGGTGTTATCATCAACTAACCAACATTTTAATGTGTACAATGGAAAAGTAACGTAGAATTTTTACTTTCCATGAAATCGGTACACTAAATGGCTGCTTCCCAGCATTCCAATTATGCAGTGCAGTGGGATTAGATGCGAAAGGCGGTGCCTGAATTTTCTATTTCCCGAACGACACGTCCGCGGAGGACATTGGCGACTTATGGTTCTACGCTTCAGACTACCTAATGGTGTTTGTGTTTTCGCAGGTAAAGCCAGATGCGAGTATCCCGGCGAACCGCCAAACGGTCGGATCATACCGCTGAAGTTCTGGTACGGGCCGGGCGACAAGTTGAAAATAACGTGCTTGGCCGGATACGTGCTTCCCTTGCCGACGGAGGCCAGTCCGCCGGTGTGCTTGAACGACGGCACTTGGTCGCATCCACTGCCCGAATGCATACCGTACACGAACGTATGATTTCAACAAAAGTCAACAACAACAACAACAACAACTCCGAGCACAGGGTGGCGTACTTAACCGGAGGGCAAGGGTGGGGGGGGGGGGGGGGGGTAACTGCTTTGATGTACGACGAACCGTGTCTTTAATAAAAAAAAATATTCCCAATGTGAATATCGCGACTTATTCCTTTCCCTCCCTCTCTGACCGTTTCTCATTATGCCCATTCTCTTGTGTACTCCCTCCGAAAACCGAATAATATTTTTTTGGTAAACCCCCCCCCCCTTATATCCCTCTCGCCACCACACCGTCGGTGAAAAAAACCATTGCGCTGCAAGTGGATTTTTCTCGGATCCGAAATATACTTGATACCATTACAAAACGACTGCGGCTTTATCGAGCCGCGATTTACGGCCCGGGGCGGTAATTCCAATTTTGAGAACACCCCCCCCCCTCCCCGTTTCCACTTGTTTTATTCGTGTCCTCGGCGTTTCGCGCTGTTCTTATATTGTATTATATTTGAACTCGTGTAATTGGCGGCCAATAAAAGCGGCAAATACCCCGAGATGTTTTTCTTCCCCGACGTCGCAAAAGAAAAATGTCCGTAACAATGTAATCTCGTTTATGAGAAAAATTATATGTATCACCCCTCCGGTCGTGTACACGCCAAACGACATTATGATAACATAATTATTGCTATTGTTTTTGGACAAACAACACACATCAATCGACATTTATACAAACCCATCTTTAACCATGCATCCTACGTTTCTTCAGAGAACACTTCATAGACATAATATCATACACTTGATTTACTATTATGTATTTTATTCTTCTATCAATATTTTAAACATATTGTTATTATTATACTATAGCTAGTCTTTTTTAAAATGTTTGTTTATCTATATTATATTACAATATTATATTATTTTACAATACTGGAGCGATCCTCGGCCAGCGCGTTAAGAAGAAAATACTATTTTCGAACTTCTACTTGGAACTATTTGAATCGAGTTTACTAACTTTTGAATATTAAAGGTTTTCGATGTTCGAGTACTTTAACAGGAACCACCATCAAAGGATAGTAATAATAATTAAACTTGGTATGTCTACCAATGAAGTAGTTTTCACCCGGGAAAAGGTTTCCTCGAAGGTCATGTTTATATTGTACATAGTAATATTACACTACATTTACTAAGTAAATATAATTTTGAAAATGTTTAACGAGACTCTAGCAATTTTAAGTCCGTAGAGTGATTTCTTCTGCCCTTTATATTATACAAAACCGATTGCCTGGAGAAAAATATTACACTGTTATCGACCTTGTTTTAGTAATTCTTTTTCTTAATTCTAGTATCATATTTCTTATAAATTTGCTTGACCATAACGCTTGACCAATTTTTCGGAATACTATGTAAATATGCAAATTTTTAAGTAATCGTCGTGTGCATGTACTATTGTGTCCGTTTCTCGGGTAACCGAACATTGTATTATATTTTATTTAATATTGTGACTACATTTGTTCGATTAATAAATAACTTACGTTCAATGACATATATATGAATGTAAATATACTGTGAGGATTGTATTTGAATAACGAACAAAATTGTATTATTATAATAATATGTACGTTGAGTGACAAAATATAAATAAACTCTTAGTCTTCGTGTACCACAATATGATGTTTACCTGTTTCTAGTGTTACCTGTATGTTTTGTTTTGTTCTTTTTTTTAATATTAGCTACAAAAATAATTGTTCAGTGTTATGATACCTATTGAATGTTGATTCATTCACATGTAATAATCTTGGTTGATTTTATTTAAAAGAAAGTTTGACAGTAGATTTTTAAAAGAACGATTTATGTTAGGGCTCAACTCTAGATTTAACTTAAGTTTAATTTCAGAACTATAATTGAAAAAGAAAAATAAACAAAAAAGTTTCCATCGGTTAGAGAAAAGGGTTATCGATAGTACTTTTCCACAAGAATAGTCCATACACATTTTGAACAAATTCTACTATTTTTTAAAAGATACAATGCTCCATGATTTTAAGTTGAAAAACATTTTATTGGTTTTAATTTTAATTTTAAAGGGTAATGTGTGAACGTTTTAAGTGAATTTTTTAAATAAAGTACGTTTTGGCTATGATTTGTGATTTATAGAGTTTCTGTACAAAGAATTAGACTTCAGTAATTTAGAAAGATATTGTGAGTCCAGACACAAAAAAAAACATTATTTTAAAACAATAACTGCTGGCAGTAGTTTTTTTTATTTTGAAGGAGAAGGGGTGAGAATTATTTAAATTTTTTACCCTACAGGTTTGGCTTTATATGTATTTTATAGGTTTTCTAAAGGAAGAAATCGGTTAAGCGGCTCATCAGATATCGTGGGTCGGACACAAACATAATAATGAAAACACATCATTGTAATAACAAAGTGCGGCGTCGAAGCTTAAAAAATAAAACCGGAACTAGCATATAAGTATTAAGGATAATTCTTCTTGTCCTACAAGCATACATAATCGGCCTTTGCCTTTTTCGAGGCCGACCGTTTAACGTTGCTCACAGTCGGCTGAAATGTTGTTGCTTCAAGAAAAAAGCGTTTCTCGTTTGAATAAATACAAAATCATAATAATAAAAAAAATCAGCTTTACCGTCGTCTAACCGGTGGGCGATTCACTTTGAAGGCGCACACGCGTTGCCCAAAATTGGTTTTTCTCCTTCGCGAGAAAACACATTTTATTAAGAACGATTCGACGGGAAAGGGGTGGGTGAGAGGGGGGCTAATCGGACTTTGAAACGAGCCAAAATTTCCGAATTGCTTGCCATTAACGGTCTGCGGGAGACGACCGACCATTATTAGGTATATTGCACTGCCGGCGCTATACATACACATTATAACCGTTTTGTGTATGATACTTTCCTTTTGGATAAAAATGTCAGCGTGTGTGTGTGTGTGTGTAAAATAATATTTTACTGGGCCGTTATTCCGGTTAGATGTTTTCGGCAGCGTCACTCATCACTATTATTCCACGCATTGTACGGTTAACGTTTTACTATACCGTCGATATTATGTCATAAAGTCCATCTATAGAAAAGCGTCAACGTCTAGATTAAAAATATTTACTTAAAAAAATCGCACAAAAAGTCAAAACCTAATGAGAAAATCGATCAAGTTTGAATAATTATTGTATTGTTCAGTGCTGTTGTTGTTGAACATTTTTTCTTTGGCTGTTCGATTTTTTTAGGTGTAGTTCTAGGACTTAAGGTCTCAAAATTAGACTGAAGGTACATGTACATTTTCTCTGAACTCAGCCCAAAAAAGGTGGAAATTATACTCAGACCATATCAAATTTCCAGATTGACACCTGTGAACAAATCAACAGTCAACAGGTATCCATTTTCAGGTTTTCATTGTTAACTTTTCAATCGCTAACAACGGCAACGGCAACCATTATGAAATAACAGACGATCAACCCTAATACTAAAAATACAATTCCCAACACATATTTGCCTTTCATCTTTGTTTAATATTATTTCTACCATAATACCGCATTTTTTTCCCAAGGCTTTAAATCAGTAGCATCTATATCCGGCCTTTACAGCTCTTTGTAAACAGCGCCGCAATAGAGATGTTTGCCTTTTTGTAGGATTTATTTAATTTCGGTAAATACTGGTCGCTATTTATTCGGATGTTGCAAACGTTTATACAGGAAGTGTAGGGTGTACACAGTATATGTATATTTCTATTGTAATGTGCGCGTACACACAGACTCTGCGTAAATATCTCTATTTATATACATATATATATATTATAAAGAGACATAAACGAACGTTTGTGTGTATGTATGTAGAGAGAGAGAGAGAGAGAGAGAGAGAGAAAGACTATCGTCAGTAAAGTGTAAGGGGTTCGGAATGGCTCGTCGGTGATATATTATTATAATATCCGGTCGGAGTTTATTGGCTCGGTCCGGGTTTTGGTTTTCTAATAAAGTGCAAATTTTCGTTTGGGCCGGGCAATTTGTTTTTATCATTTATTGCCGGCCCGACGGACGACGGATTTACAGGCAAAGACTTTACGATATTTTCCGGGCACGGCTCTCCGATGGGATTTCCGACAGGTATGCGTTTGTGTGTAATAAATGGAAAACGAGACGTCCAAATAAATTACCGACAGCCCGGATCAATCTAAATCTCGCGCTAAATCCGGGTGTGCGTTGTTATAACGACCCGGAGCAAGTTTATATATGCATATGCCATCGTGTACAGTGACTATATGTACGCTGGAGAGATAACGTCAGCCGGAGAGCACCTACCCTGCCCTTACTCCCCCATTGGTGTGCTTGTAAGTCACGCGTCCGAAGCGCGAGGGACTAGGCCGCCGACGGCTATAGATATATATATTTTTCCTCGGCTACCGATAAATCATTGAGATGTTTTCTTCTTAAGCAGAGAGGGATGGTGTGTAAAGTATGAGTCCGCGGAGAAACGAAAGATTGAAATCGGCAAAACGCACCGGAGTCGAAAACAACAACAACAAAAAAAAATACCTCCTCGGAAATAGAAGAAAATCCTCTGCGTCGTTTTCATAAATAATTATTATTTATGGCCGAATTCCGTGGAAATGTAATAATTGAAAACCGCCGCCTCCCCCGCACACGTCGGAATCATCCCCACCTGTTTGTGGGCAATAGCCCCGCTTAAGTCCTAGAACCTAAGGTTGCGGCAATGTTGTACACAATTTAATGGAAAGTAAAAAAAAAAAACGTTTCTTTTCCATGATACATATTAAAATATTTGGTTAGACGATGATAGCCAAAAATTATGATAACTGGATAGCCAACGGCATGTGATAAGGTGTCTCCCAAACTGTACCAATGAGTAACCTATACCATGAGTAAAAATAATACATAAGTTCAATTACGGTGCTAAATTTATCGGTTATATTTTATGACTATAGTAGAGAAATAGTATGCGCAATATCGTCCATTCCAATAGCGCATTTATGGGAATGGGCGATAAGGGCAATCGCCTAAGAAAATAGTGGGGAAGGAAAGGAGAGAAGAGGGGAGGAGAATATAG